GTTTTCAGGTAAACTTGCAGCTTTGGGACAAGTGATTCAGACCCTTGGTCTGTGTTGAAGGGGACTGGAGTGTCTAATTCAGCAAGACGGGGTGCTGGAGTCTTGAGCTGGCAGGGAAAACAGAAGCAGGGGTAGTCTTGGCATATCGGGTGGCAGCTCCCAAGGGGGTTTCTGTGATCCAACCCGTCACAATAGGCACCTAAGTCCCTTTGTGAATCTAGCCCCCAGTGGCCAAGCAACAGTGCTCTCATTAATGCAAGATTAGATTCCCTTGCATTCCATCATTTTTATCTTGATTCCTCCCAGCTCCTAAGCCTGCCTCTCCTTAGCACCCTGGCATAGTGGTTATGCTGGGGATGGGGAGGGCTGTGACTGAAGCACACTGCATTCCAGCAATCCCCAGCTGGCATACACTCCCTTGGGAACTATAGTTAGCTGGCATAGGTTCAGAAGGCTTCTAGGCTGTCCTAACCTTTGCCCAGGCCAGCACAGGTCGACCTAAGAATCAAGGAGTCATAACTGGTTTCCTGATGCCCCTTCTCACTCCTGCACCAAGCAGATCTCTTGGCAGGAGAGAATCTGAGGCTGTGTCTACAGCGGGCTGCAATGTGGACAACAGGTGCAAAGGGCACCCAAGTGTTGCACTGTAACTGCCCTGTTTGGACGCTGCTGGCGCAAACTAAAAGGAACTTAGTGCATGTTAACAGAGTCCTCATTCAAACAGGACTACGTTAACGCAAACTAGATACTACCCATAGTGAGCACTGTGGTGCAGTGTAGACAAACCAAGCCATTTTGGTTTTTAATATGTTTTGAAAGAGACAGCTGCAAAGTACTTTTGGTTACAATGAAATCTTAGAACTATTGGACTGGATAGGACAATACAAAATACTCTGTGGCCTCTGGACCAGGTGTCAGAGCCCCAGGCCAATTCACTTGTGTATTAGTATAGGTCAAAGTGATTGTTAAATGTGTAACTGTATTTGGTGTTTAAACATCGTGAAAACTAGAGGGATGTTACTTGCATTGTTCTCACTTATCTGTATCCTGTTATAATGTAGTAGCAAACATTTACATTGTGTATACCCCTGAAACTAAATAACCCATGAAACAAGAAAGAAGCCTTGTGGAATGCAAATGAAGAACTTTAACAGAAAAGTGCTAATTGTGTGTGATGATCGGAGGTCAAAGATTCAAAATGCATTCCTCAGTCTCTGTCATCAAAGGAAAAGTCCACATGGGTAGTGACACTGTCAGCTTGTTTTCTGTGAGAAGAAGCTGTAAGTATGGATTCAAGGAAAGATCCTGGATCTCTGGACTGTTTGGACTCCTACAGGGAAGTGTACCAGATGCAAAGCAGAGATCCCCAGAGACAATCTGGGTACCCTGAAAAGACTTTTGTGAAACTGGCAGTTTATTTCATCACTGCCACCATTTGGAATGACAAACTGTGACTTGTGCATATATTTTACCTGTTTTAACCTCTCAATAACTCTCATTTCCTTTTCTTGGCTAATACACCTTTAGTTAGTTTATTATAGAATTGGCTACCAGCAGCATGTTTGGTGTAAGATCTAGGTTACCAATTGATTTGGAGTAAGTGACTAGTCTCTTGGGATTGGAACCAACCTAAATGTGATGTGATTTTTGGTGAAAGTAACCATTTTATCACAAAGTCCAGTTTGTCTGGGTGGCAAGAGAAACTGGAGAGTCTAAGGGGACTGTCTGTGACTCCATGGTAAGACTGGTATTGTGATCCAGGAATTCACATTTGTCACTGGCTTGGTGAAATCTAATTATGGAACACACCAGCAGTTTGGGGTTTCTGACAGTTTTCTGACAGTCTGCCCTGAGATAGGCACTAAGGGTCATGAGCCACTCCAAACAGCCTAGCAGGCTGTATTCCTCCTCTAGCAGAGGGGATGGACTATGCAACCTGGTGGGTCTTTTACATTTCTAATTTCTAGGGGTGTATTCTGAGTCTTCATGAAAAGCCTGAGTAACAGGGCTTTGTGCAGAGGAATTATGTGGGTCATGCTGAGGACAAATCCTGCTGTCCTCCAACCTGTAATTATGGCCTGGTGCTCTCCTGCTGCTGGGTAACATTAGTGATAAAACCCTCTGAAATAAAGTTCTCTGTCTTGAATAAACATACATTTGAGAGCACAAACCATTACAATTCCTGCTTCAATTAGACAGCTGCAGAGCATTATTCTACTTCCTTTGGAGTCCTGGACATGGATTATCTGTTATGATCATGTAGGCGTAGCCTGCATAATCAAATTCCTTCAAACAGGAGAGTGAGAGGGTAAGGCACAGGCATTGCCAGAATTGGGCTCCCCTATATTTTATATCTTTATGTCCAAGATGGTTTTCTAAGGCTCTGCTCTCAGAGGCTGGAAAACCCTGTTACCAGAATGAAGAAAAATAAAGAAGGCCAAATCAATCCTTAGTTGGTGTAAAGTGGTCTAGCTCTGACTTCAGTACATCTAGGTCAATTCACATCGGCAAGGATCTGACCCAGAATATCCACATAAAGCTAATCAACAGGATCACAGTGGTGGATTAAACTGTGGCAGTGAAACTGAGAATTTCTTATAACACAGATTTTCACTCCTGCTGGACTATGGTTGCCAGAGAAACTGAGCTGACCTATCAACAGAGCTGGGTATAGGGGCAGCTTTATTATAATGAATCAGTTTATCTTTCATTTCAAGCCTTCACAAAGGCAATGCACCCACTTCTCTTGAGCACAGGAGAAATACCTTCAGTGAAGCCCTGGAGCTTTCAGGAACCCCATTTCCATATTTCCCGGAGATGATCCCGCAGGCAAGTGGAGACCATGTCATTGCTCCAACCCCTACAAAGCAATCGGATAAGGAAATTACAATGAATTGGCGACATATTGGTACATCATAAATGTGATTGTCTGCAAAGAGAAAGACCAAGTTTACTGCTTATTCCTATGATAGTTGTTAGTGATGTTCAGCCAGTGTAATGGTAACAACGGTCTCTTCCTGAACTAACCTGGACAAGGTTATTTCATATTTTTAAAAAGGCTGTGTGAGCCCTCTTAGAGCAACTGGCACAGTCCTATTTGTGGCAGCTGCTTGCCTCATGCTGGCTCCTCCTCTTCCCAGTTTATTGAGGTATCCCAAACCTGTCCTTTGTCTTAGATGGCTCCTGTATCTCACTGATGGGCGGGGAAGCCCCCTACCTCTCTTTGTTATGCTGTCCAACCCCTTTTTCTGCACTGCATCGGGCAGCTCCTCAGGGAGTGGAGCTGCAGAAAAGATAGTCCTGCTGGTGCATTCTCCACAGGAGCAGAGGGGAGGATAAAATGCACCCAGGCCAATCTGCTCCTCTTCCAGCCCACTTTGTCTCCACCCCATCCCTGACCACAGACTCCATAGAGTGGCCTGGAGCCATTGAAGAGGCAGATTGTGCTGTGGAGGCAGATGCATTCCCTTCAGCACAGGAGAGATGAGATTAGTGTAGGGTGGCTCCCCTTTCTGCATAGATCTGGGGTACCATTTGGGCTTTAGAAATTAGCATCTCAAAGTAACAGATATCTACTTTTAGAGCTACACTGAGACAGTCTCTTTCTTTGGATTGCTAGGCAGATGTTTGTTTTCTGCCACACTTCTATTTAGCCGGGACATACAGGAAAGGATTCTGTATCCTTGCCATTAGCTTATCGTTTCCTCAAGAGTAAGAAATGAGAGAACAGAGCAAATCTCTAAACTTTACCTATTTTGTGGTACAATTCTGGCAGTTGAACCTCCACTTTCTCTCGCTGGAAAAGATGATATTCAGCCTGTTCACATACTGGTGGAATCATATTAAACTGTCTTGCTACAGAATAGGCTTCCTGTACAAAATCAATAGAATAAAATGAAGTATTAACAGAGACTATCTTTGTGTAATATAACATATCAATCAACTAAGCATCCATAAAATCAGTGCATGTCCCAGACCTCTTTAGGTATAAAGAATCTGCTGCAAAGTAGATTCCCAAATTCTCATCAGATGCAATATATATATTCACGTTTCCCAAGCTTCTTTTCAAATAGCTTTTTAATGTTTTGTTTTCTGTATATTCAAACAAAGAAAAAAGCAACAAATTCTCAGGGCATTTTGGACTCCCATTATAGTCAATGGAAAGACTCATTAACTTCAGAGGTTCTTGGATCAAACCCCTACTGGTTAATAGTAATTCTAAGAATTAATTATTAAAAATACCCAGCAATTGTAGATTCTACTCACTTCACACCTGAACTAACTTGTAAGTGTGTATAAGGTATGATGTCACTACAGTGAAATATAGGTGGCATGCTGACCATACACGCTCACATTGCTTTCATGATACTTAGCTCTGAAAGCCCACACACAGTTGTTCCTTTTTCATTTCAAGGTGAAATCAAAATTCCTCAGACTGATGGATCTCCATCCCAGAAGTGCATTACATTTTCCACTGCTGCAATACCCAGCAGCCTTGGGTTGACTACAACCAACCAACAAACCATGTTTATAAAGGTGTTACAACTGGTCTACATTAGGAGCTAAGAAGTTTTTAAACAGCAGTTAATTAACATGGGTTATCCACTGTGACCCTATGAGCCTCTCAATGCCCACTGGCAAAGGGTTTTCTGTCTGACTACAACTGTTACCATGCCTGACAAACTCATTACGCATAACACACTGTTGTCATATTTATCCAACGAGTGTCTCATAAGATATCATATGAAAACTGGTGACTTTCTGGTGATTAATATTCTTTTATGATGTATGTACAGTTAGCATGTCAAGAGTTATGTAGGTGTGCTGGATATATGCTACTAAAATATGTTTAGACCAAGCAATCCCAGTAAAGTTCATTAACAGATTTGTCCTAGACAAAGGAATGTATATTGGACAGTCCGCCAGGACCAAGCTTCGTAAGCCAAAGACAGTGGATAATATATGCATCTGTGGTAAACAGAGTGATTGAGCTAACAGGGGAAGGAGGAAACAGCATGGCTTGATTACAAGCAAAAGATAATGGACATACATTTGCATCTAAGTGATCACACCAATGGGATGAAGGTCCCCGCTTGCTGAAGAACAAACAGGATGACCAGAGTCTGAACCCCAGGGGGCATCCTCACTCTGGGGACAAAACAATGATTTTTGGGAACTATAAGGTGAAGCAAAAAGCCATCACTTAAGGGACAAAGAGGCCAGCACTTTCTGAAAGGTAGATCCCCATCCATGTGGGTTGAAGGTGCTGAGAACTGACAGTAAGTGAGAAATTGCCTGAGATCAGGATTGTAACCTGTTAAGTGTTAGACACTAGAAAGTGTTTTTATATTTGCTTTATTTTAAACCATTTTCGGTTTTTATTATCCTTAATTACTGTCGTTTAAATCTCTGCTCTTTATTTATAAACTTCTTTTTGGTTTTACCATAAAATCATGTCAGTGCTGTATATTAAAGCTAACTTAACAGGCTGGTGTGTCCACTTTCTTTGGAGGCAGTAGACCTGGTAATTTCACTGAGTGTCCAGTGATAGGGGCTGGATACTGCAGAGAGATGCTCTGGAGAACTTGGGAAGGGGGGTTTACTGTGAAGGTTTAGGTAAGGTGGAGTTCGCTGGTGAGGCAGACAAACTGGTGTGGCAGTGAATTGTCATTCAGTTTAAGCTCCAGCAAGGCTCTCCCTTGCTGAGGCAGAGGGGTAACACAGCAGCTTACCATTCTTGGCTCCCTGGGGAGATTGTCACAGCTATTATGTTTTAAAAGAGCCCAAAGCCTTTTTCTTATCCTAGACAAGGTCACCAGGGTTGTGCTTTCACCAATGCACAGACAGTGGATGCCTAGAGTATGTCTGAAAGAACCAAGCCTCTGTGGAATCTATTCTTTTCACTGTTTATTTTTCAAAGGGCTCCTCTACATTCGGGACTTACATTTGGGCACTAGCATAGCTGTACCCATACAAATGCCCAGTATAGATGCGCAGCACTGGTGTCAAGTGGGGCTTGTGTCAGTGCGACTTATCCTGGTTTGAGGGCCGAGTTGTATCTGTGCAGTGCATGTACACTGGTGTGCATTGGGGATAGCCACACCACTGCAAAAATCTCTGATGTAGTCAAGTCCAAAGTCACGGTAAACTTCAGGCTCAGACTTGAGCCAAATGATTTTATAATTTACTGATACATTATTGAGCTCCTGTTGATCTCCTGACTGATGCCAGGCTCATTCGTCTTTTGGCCCTGGTTGATGAAGCAAGAACTCCTCAGAATTGAAAAACTGGCTTCAATGCCTGTGGGACTTAAACAGTCAGGACTCATATTCTACAGGTCTAACTTTTTTCATCACAATTACAGTGTCATTTACTAGAAAAGTGGCTGCTTCTAGTCTTGAGATTTCTGGAATTGATAGTAATGCTGACAAATCTATTCAATATGGCTGTGTGGCCAGCTGACTGAGTTATCCATGGAGAAACTCTCCCCAGTATTAGAATCATATTCAGTGCAACATCATCCCCTGGCACTCAGATGGGACACATTCACAGATACTATTGTTGGGGAAGTTTATTGAAGCATCCAGGACTACTGAGCCCATCTGGAGAACTCCAACAGGAGTTGTGAAATAAAGTTCAGTAAAAACAGGTCAGGCCACCTTAATCCACCTAAAAGTGGGTCTACACAACAACTGTAACTGGTTTTAAAATTGGTTTAGCTGAACAGATTTTAAAACCAGTTCAAAAACTTTCCCCGCATAGACAGGTGCTTATTGTTCAACCTTTGCATTGCATTTTGGCAAATTCTGCAGCCCTGAATGTGATCTAGAGTACATAACAGAAATTGATGATACTTTTTTAAAAGCTACATTACCATGATCTCCATAGCACTCCAGCGTGAGGTTCCCCAGTACATTGCCATCCCCTGGTTTATCACATGTGTCATTGCTCGGACAATTTCTGAATAAGAAGAAAAAGATGAAATCTCTATGACATTTCATATGAATCCATCTATTTACCACCCAAATTACTACAATATTTACAAACAATTGTAAATAACCGACCACACGATGGTTTACACGTGCAAGTACATTATATAGAGATCACTAAATAAATACCAGCCTAAAACAGGATGTTAATATTGCCTATCATTAATGTTTGCTTTTTTACTACATGCACTCAACTTTACAGGTGAGTCAGGCCCAAACTACGAGGCTTGTTTTCAGATTTCAAACTCAACAATTCTAGGTGTTTGGAACTGACGTGTTAGAACTTGATTTGGATACATTTTTAATAATGTAAATTGGGTGTAACCACTAAAGACATGGAGTTCCAGTTATAGAAGATATGCATGAGATAAGAAATAAGGCCCTGAATTCAGGCTACTATAGTAATAGGTGGCAGCTGCTAAGTTAGCAGCTAGATCCAGGTTGAGGTTGTGAATCTCCCAAGGCTGGATGATGTCCAGATGGAGGGATTTTCCCTGGGCCCACCCACCTTTACAGTAAATATGTGGCTATTAATAGTTCATAATGGGCTAAGCAGTTTTGGTCAATGATCAACATGAAACTAAAACCAACCCTAAAATAATAGCTTTGTAGCCTATGTAATAACATATTCCATCTTCAAACACCCTTCTTTGCATCTTTTTTCCTGTTTGTGGATGAAGTCGCATGACATGCGCAAATTTTAGGAGAATTACATTGGTGAATAATGAATGTAAATTTTCGTATTAAACAAAGTATGCTCATGCTTATTCATGACATTATTTTTCTAAAATTTAAGACCACAAGAGGGCAGCATTGTAGAAGAGGTTTGGGGAATGTAATGACTAAAAACCTCTGCTAAAAACTTAAGTTCAAAAGATTTTTTTAAATTTAATTTTACAAAACACTAGTGTACACTCTGTCTTCTTGCTTTTTACTAAGATTGTTAAGATGCCAGTGACGAAATATAAAGCTGGCTAATCAGATTGTTGGTTATATCAGTACACCTGGTTTTTTTGTCATCCATTTACACCTCACGGTGTATCAGTGAAAGTATTAGATTATACCTCCTTCCTCTTCCCCCTTCTGCCCCCCTCGCCCCAAATTCTACAATCTTTATTAGTTGTATGTGCAACTATGGAAGAGGTGATTTTTTATCATTAATAACGTAATTTAGCACTTATATAGTACTTTGTCTTCCATAGACTTCAAAGACCTTTCCAAATATAGGTAGGCATTTTTCTCTCATTTACTGATGGAGTAAGTGAGGTGCAGAAGGTTTAACTAACTTGTCCATAGTCACAAAGAGAGTCAGCGATAGCCCCAGGAACAGAACTTGGATATCCTGACTCCTGAGTTCCTTACTCAGTCCATTAGATCAGAATGCCTCAACCAGGGGTGTGACCCAGAAGTGGATGTCCACAAGTTGTCAAATGGATTTCACTTCACTGGTTGAGAAAGGGGCAAAATCTCTGGGTCTCACCAATGGAAGCTGTGGAGTGCTCAGCACTTTTAAAAAAAAATAAGGTCACTTATTTAGGGATGCCTAAACTTAGAGTATGTCTATACTGCAAACAAAGATGTGTTCTTAACTCGGAGTAGCTAACCAGCATTAGCTAACATGGGTTACAATAGCAGTGAAGACATGGCAACGTGGCTTTTAACTTAGGTTAGCAGCTTGATTTCAACTTCAGGATGCCCTATAGGCTTGAACTCGAGCTGCTAACCCGAGTTAAAAGCAGAGGTGTCATGTCTTCACTGCTATTTTAACCTCAGTTACCTACCACAGGTTAGCTAATCTGAGTTAAGAACACAACTGTTTTGCAGTGTGGACATACTCTGAGACACAACTGGTTTTCTAAAATCTTGGCCTATTAATTTTAGGATGCCCAAAGCATGTCAGGTACATTAGAAATGAACAAATTCCCTGTCCCAATAATCTGGACAGGAAGCAGGAAGACAGTTATGTAATGGGGTGCAAATAAGCAAAACTCAGCAAGTGTTCATGTTTAGCATGAATCTTGTGGTTCCAATTTTTGTGTTTGGTAAGTTAGGGGACTCGCTGTTTTTTCCATGATATATAGAGTTATGTGTGCATATACCACAACCTGGTTTAGTTTGCAGTTGTTAAGTTGCATTGACCTTAAAATGAAAGTGGCTGCTGATTTTCATTCTAATAAAGGGAAAGTGTGGTGACGACACAGGAAAGGAAATAGAACACCAGGTTTGTGGTAGCCAGAGAGCTTTAAAAGCCTCAAGCAAAAAGCCTCCAGGAAAACTTTTCCTGGGGTTTTTATTTTTTTTTTTACTTTGTTTACAACACTTTTTAGTGGTTACATTTTTGCACATAGAAAAGCCAGGCAGTATACATGCACATAAGATAACGAACCCATCTCTTGAGCGCGTGAACACCAGCTGCGAGGGTACAATTAAATCAGCCAAAAAGTTTTCCCAAACACAGACGCGGGGGTGTAAACAGCTCTAGCCTCGTTGCCATGGGAGCAGTTTGCCGCGCCCATGAGCTGACGATTCGGGAGCTATACACCCCCACAGGAAAGAAATGGAGAAAGATGGAGAAAGCTGGGGTGTGCAACATTAACATTTCTAGAGGCCTAGAGCGAGATCCTTGCTGGTGTAAATCATCTGTGTAGCTCCAGTGATTTAATGTAGCTATGCCAATTTACACTAGCTGAGACTCTGGTCCCTACAGTTTATAACTACCTATGTAATCATACTGTATAATTAATTTCCATAGGATTGGGGAGCCAAAAGATTAACAGAATTCCAAACCTTTTTTCTTTTTTATTGTGCTAGGGGGAATAAACTGAAATTGATAGGCTGAGAGAATAAAGGATGATTGCACTAGAGTTCTAAATGTTCCAGAATACTTGTACCCAAGAATCTTTCACTGGTGCTTTAATTTTATAACTCCAATTTTTAATAAGCGATTGTTACTTCTGGAAATAAAAACACAAAATATCCTCTTTCATGAATATACTTTGTATTGAACATGAAGATTCACAACAATTAGCAGTGTGAATTAGTAGCGGACACTTGAATATGGTTCATCCCACATATCTATCTTTGACAACAACTTTGTAACTTGAAAACCAGTGTCTTCCCTCCAATACTTTACTTAAAAAGTGGAAAGTGTTATGGGAAATATGGTAATTTTTTTCTGTCTTAATGCTCTGGATTCTCAAAAAGTGCATTGAGCACCATGTTTTTCCATTGAATTCCATGAGATCCTAGGGTTGGTAAAAATAGGTTATTCAGATTCACTGAATTGGATGTCTCCTAGTCTGCCCCTGCATTGGGAAATCCAGCATGGAGAACCATATCAGGTGCCCTTGACTCACCACATCAGGAAATACAATTAAGAGAATCACATCAGATGCCTCCAGCTCACTGACTGCAATATATTCATTCAAAAATTCTCCTTCTCGTGGAGCATAAAGTGCACGTCAGATCATGAATGGATCCATCCATCCAATTCATCCGTTTCCTGAGATCTCGGTCTCCGGCCAATGTTGTGGCCTGATCTATATTAAGGTTGAGGTGGATGTCATAGGAAGCCACAACATCCCTCAAGGGTGTGTGAGGCCATCAATGAGGTCTTCTCCATCCAACTTTTGTTGGCTCAAACACATAAAGCTGGTATGGCCCCTGGCATATAGAGCAGATGGCCAAGCCACCTGAGCCGGTGTTGAATCACTTGAGAAGACATTGGAGGCTGGCTGATCTGACACCTGATCCTCATTCATAACATGATGAAACCATCATATGCCTTTAATATGTCATTGTTGTTTCATGCTGAAAGCATCCTGCTGGCATATTTGTATCTCTGTGGTCGCCCAGGTTTTAGAGCCATACAGAAGGACAGAAGCAACTGCTGCCTCACAGATATGCATTTTAGTCCAAGTTGATTTGTGGTTTTGATGCCACAGAGGCTTCCAAAGAGTAGGCATAACACCCATAGCTGGTGGAATCAATGTTTCATGTCTGAAAGGCAACCTCCCTCCTGGCGACAACAGAGCCAAGATACTCAAGTGAGTCAGCAAATTCAACTTTTTGTCCATCAATTACGATGGGTAGGAGTAGAGGTCCATCAGCCACTTTCACCAGTTTGGTCTTCTTCCAGTTGACTTGAAGACCAAGCTTATTTGCTTCATCTGTCAATATATTCAGAGCATTAATGAGATTAATTCCTGAGGATGTGAATATAGCCATGTCATCTGCATATTCCAGGTCTGTTATGTAAAGATCATGCAGTACCACCTCCAGTATGCAGCTAGTCATGGGCTTCCATCATTTGGTCCATAACAGTGTTGAACAGATCAGGGGTAGCCATGCACCCTTGACAGACACCGCTGTTGTACTCAAACTAATTGGACACCCTAATACGTCAGTGGATACAGCTCTTATTTTGGTGGTGCATTTCTATGAGAAGGTTGAGGAGCTCGCCAGGCAAACAGCTTACAGGCAAAGACAAAGTGAATGACGATCAACAAAGTCAAAGGCAGATTTTAAATCAATAAAGGCTATATAACCTCATCCTTCCTGCACCAAAACTCTTGGACTTTTTCAATAATTTGTCTAATGGTAAAAATCTGCTACATGGTTGATTGGCTGGGCATAAACCCAGCTTGATGTAGATGGCATAGATTCCTTATGGTGGTCTTAACACACTCAAGAAGAACCAGCATGAACAGTTTGCTTGGAATGGAAAGCAACGTGATGCCACAGTGATTAGAGCACACCAGAGCATTACCTTTCCCTTTTCAAAATGAGAGAATAATTCCACGGTGCCAGTATTGGGTAGTTTCTCATGAATCCATACTTTGTTGATAACATGGATCAGCCACCCCAAGACAGAAACCTTGTCGTGCTTGATCAGCTTGGCAGCTGTACCACAAATATTGATAGCATGGCTGTTCTTGAGCTTGCAGGCTAAACTTCGAAGCTCCTCTACTG